TCGATTCTATAAAAATGTGTTAAACTGGAAAAGTTTATGTATTATACCCAGAATGAATTATGTATGATTTACTGGCGCACTAGCATCTATTATGGACTGTTCAGCTTTTATTTCATAGAACGAGAAATTATGATTTTTGAAAGACATTTTTAGAATATATAGCTAATAAGTTTCCATATAATACTAATGAGTGAAGCATAAAAGAACGTGCCACAGCTAGTCGCATGTTCCATAACTTGTGCAGCTGTGTCAGTGCAACTATAACATACATATTGGTTTTTGATAGCATAGTGAATGAAGAATCTAAAGACTTTATGGTGCTCAGTGACTTGGAAAACAAGATATCAACGAGTTTTTTGGAGCAGCTAAAACCAAGAATGGTTATGCACTCACCAACACAATATGAAGCACCTGCTCAAATGGTTAATAATTGTGGACAAGAACAGAATGGCAGATTGTGTAATCATAGAAGCGGGGAATCATCAAATGCAAATAACGTAGGCTGTGCTTGTAAAACTGGGCGTAAATCAGTGAGCGACTATATTCAGACAACCTATGGTACAACATTCAATATTCTGAGAGCGCCATTTAAAAGAACATTTTTAGAGAAACTCTCCGGGCTAACACGGAACTATGTTCCCACATTCGATCACGATGAAATTATGGATATCATGATGATATTTGATTATTCAAAAGCAAGTGATCTGCTTGCATATGCTGTAGTCGTATATTTAATGAATAATCCTGAACTTGTCAATCAGATACAAAGGCATGACTCAGCTAAGTTCAACTCTCCTAAATTAAACAATTTTATGATTTCACTAGCTGCATCATTTTGTTTTTCTGAACGGGTGTATGAATGGATAGTATACCAAAATAGCGCTTTTGAGTATAACTGCCACATTAGGTCATTCCTTTCTACTAACTGTTGTATAGTTACAAATCAATAAATTTATTTTCATTCCAGTAGCTCATTGTATACAACATTTCTTGTGTATACTTTACCATTCTCACGCTTTCCTTGGTCTCCATTGTCAGCAACATACACCCTTAGACCGTTTGCATAGCGCACTCTCGACAGAACTACATACAACTGACCATGCACAAAGACAGGGCTGTGCAGATAAACACCTACCTTGTCAAATGACTGACCCTGTGACTTGTGGATTGTCATCGCAAACGAAAGAAGAACCGGAAACTGTCTTCTCTTGAGCATGAATGGCAGCTGTGTCTCGCTCGGTGCCATGTCGATCCTTGGTATGACTGCCCTGCTACCTCTCCTGGATCCGGTT